AAAACTTATAGAAATTTAAAATCGATTACAAAATTCCACCCGGACAGACATACACGAAGGCAAGTTTATATAAACGTGGTAAAATACGCTTTGAGTAACTAAGTATCCGTACTAGACAGTTAAAGACAGGTCAGTGAAGTAATTGCTACCACAGCTACATGCGCATTGAGCACCTTCCTTCCCCTTCTTAACCACGTGGACAAAGATATTGTCTTTATTCTCAGAAAGAGTAAGAGAAAACATCAGAAAATATAGCTTAGGGCATTTCTAACTAACCACTTTTAAAAGACCCTCGATTTTTCAAGTTGACAGAAATATCCGGGGTTTTGTCTGCTGCATCACAAGATCGGAGTCGCAGCACCATCCTTTTTTTATGCCTTTTCATAGTGCCCATAGCGGCTTGGTCAAACAGAATTGACACTTCTCCGTGAATATTCGGAATTCTCTATTTTCACCATGTTTTTATTGAAATAATTAATGAATCTAAAATTACAACATTTAATACTTTGAATTCGGCAACCATTCTCAAATTGTGTGAAACGATCGAAGTGTCGATTCGATTGAGTGTAAAATTCTTCATGATAGAAAAATAGCGTTTACTAATTGAAAATATAAATTATTTAATAATTTGTGTTATTTAAACAGAATTTATTAATTCAAATAAGATATTTTGAATAATAAAGTATCCTATGTAATAGGTATTCTTATTTGTAATTTTTTCCCTATATTTTGGAAGTAAAAAAAAAAAAAAAAAATTAGGTTGCATCACCGGCACGATTATTTCACATAAAATTATAATTCTTTTAAAAAAAAAACATGTAAGTTCATCACTTCCTTTAAAAAAATTACTTAAACCTCTAATAAAGAGTTAATATAATTCAGATAAATAATATCTGAATTTTATGATACATTATTAGCTAACTAAAAATTAAGGTCACTAAATTTTTTTTAAATTTAAGAATGTGTCGTTGAAATAATAATACAAGAGAAATGGTTTTCGAGATTTCGGCATATAATGTCGGTCATCTTGCTTTGAATTATCATAAATGGTTACTCTTGGAGGAGAAAAAAAAAAAACTAAATTCAAAAACACATTTCGCTACAAGACTTAGCGAATCGGGTCTGGGATTCCGAAACGAAATTCAGATAACATTGAAATCCGTTTAAATCTCATCACTGATGAAATATCCGTTAATGAAAGAATTTCGGCAAAGTCGGGATTTTGGCCTGAATTATCGATCATCTTGCTTTGAATTATCATAAATGGTTACTCTTGGAGGAGAAAAAAAAACTAAATTTAAAAACACATTTCGCAACAAGATTTGCCGAATCGGGTCTGGGATCCCGAAACGAAATTCAGATAACATTGAAATCCGTTTAAATCTCATCACCAATGAAAAATCAGACAATGAAAAATCAGACAATGAAAGAATTTCGGCAAAGTCGGGACTTTGACTTGTAAAAAAAAAAATGCCGACTCAGCCTGAATTTGCCGACTGGATGATATCGCTAGGGGGTGAGACCCCCCTCTCCCCCCCCCCCCCGTTGAGGACGGGCCTGGAGTAATGGCTTTGTGCTTTTTTTAAATCTAAATTTCAGTCACTTCAGTGAGGACGTTCTAATGGACATTCAAGGTTGTTATAATTTGTAATGAGGGGTTGTACTAAATCGTCTTCTCCATCGGTGCCCATTAGCGCATTATTTGTGGTTAATACTTGTTTGCTAATAATACTATTTTTAAGTCGACAAACCTTTTTTCCTGATACCTTTTTCTTTTACTAATAAAAATGCAATGATGTATAATATATAATTAATATGTACGTTCATATGTCTTCATTAATATGACAATATGATCGGGCATTTAAAAGTTTCATTCTGACATGTTTTTTGCAGGCTAACATGCCCAGCAGAACATGTAAAAATTTCGGAATGTTTCCAGCCCTGATTATTATATTCTAAATAATATTTCAATTTAAAATATGAATATAATAAATTATGTAAAAAGAAATAAATATCTTCATTTACGTTTTAATCATAGAATTGAATTTTTTAATGCTAAATATACTAAAAATTGGGTGGCTCTTATAACATAAACATGTGGATAATTTCTGTATAAAGAGCCAGATTTTTTAAGTGATGAATGACTCAATGAATTATAAATACATTCGATTTTTACAGATATTTTTGGTTTATTTTATTGCTGGACTGAAAAAAACAAACTTGGATTGGATCGGCGGATACTCAATGGAGAAGCTTGGTTACCACTGGGTATTTGATGGCTTTAGGTAACTATCCCAACAAATATTATTTACATTTTTCCAATGTAGTCTTAATCATTCATTTTTAACGAAACTAAATTATTTTTAAAAACTAATTTGAGAGAGACGGAGAAAATAATTTTAAAACTCGAGAATATTTGGGACTACAATTAGATAAAAATAAAACGAATCTTCAATTTCATTGCGATATTCCTTCATATGAATGTTTCGTTATATTCTTTCATTTATTGCTCTGAAAATGGTATTTTATAACAGAGAAATAAAGAGAGATATTTTCATTTATTTTTGTATAATATTTATATAAATTATATAATTTTTTTTTTTTGCTTGCTACTTATTGAGAAGTTTTCTAGGGTTAGATAAAAATTTCTGTTTTATCATTGATAGTGCAATATTTCAGCATTTTTAGAACATAAAAAAAATAATAATAATTCTTTGGTGCACTATGTGTTTTTATTAGGGCTGAGCTAGAGCATTTTTTTCCAATGGTAAATTTATTGGACAGTAGTTACAGCACAATAAGAAAAGTGAAATGCAATAAATGATGGTAAACATAATGCAGTAACTCGAGTCCATTAATTCAAAAGGTCTCGGGCTTCCCAATATCGCTCGGCTAGAGAAGACTTGTACAAAATAGGACAGTGCATAATATGGGCAGAATCCATTTCCTCCCCAAGGTTACAAAGTGTGTAGATGGGAGAAGGAGCAATGTTAATTCTGCTGAGGTGAAGAAGGTCGTGTCCACAGGCGGAATTTTGCCACAGCTCTACGCCTTGGCTCAATATAGGATTTTGGGACTAAATCCCTCCAAGGTTTATCGGACACTCTTTTGGACAGATCTATGAGGGAATGGTCGTTTATGCAATTTGTCACCATTTTCTTGATGGAACAAAATGGTATAGTGCGGGAAGGAATTTCAATAATTGAGGCTCCCTTCTTGTCCAAATGATCTGCACTCTCGTTTCCCACAACTCCGCAGGGGGAGGGTATCCACTGAAGGATACCCTCCCCCTAGTTCTTCCTGTGTGACTCAAGGCTTCGAAGGAGTCGTCGGCAATCCATGACTTCAAGGGTTTTGGGATCGTCAGAGGAATTTGGGATCGAAGAGGTGGCTGGAAGTGCGGCCATAGAGTCACAAAAAATAACTGCTTTTGTAAAATGGTCAAGGTGACAGTGAATATGAGACAGAGCAGCTCGAATGGCAGTTATTTCATCATCAAATGCAGTTCCTTGTCCCACAAAAGTGTGAAATGAAAATAATTTTGAGGAGATTCCTACCCCTGCATTGTCACAGTTGGAGAGTAGAGAACCGTCTGTAAATATATGAAGCCAAAGATCTTCAGCATAGTAATTGTTTATTGCTTCATAAGCCAGGGATCTCAAGATGGTAGCATCAGTATTCTTTTTTGACACCTTTTGACACAAGTCAAGATTAACCTTAAAGAGCCTTATTGTAGTTGGGTTCTGCGGTGGTATAATAAATTCTGGTTCGTGGTTCAAGTTATGAGAATTCTTCAGCTCTAGAACCCCTTCTAGAAACCAGTGCTGGATCTTTAAATTTCGTGTCAAGTCAAAGTTGACTTCGTTCCAAAGTGAGAGACACCCAGGCACTCAAATGATCTTCTCCCATAAGAGAAGGGCCCTCTCCTGGATTATTGACCTCAAAGGCCGGCACCCTGTTAGCAAAAGCATGGCGTCAATGGGGGTAGTCTTGACAGCTCCGGTGATTACACGGAGGGCCTGTTTCGGATTATTTCTAGGGAGTTAATGACTTTATCCCCAGCTGAAATGAGTGATTCACAGCAATAGGTTATTAGTGGACGTATAAAGGTATGGTAAGTTTGAAGTAAAGTTTGATGGAGCAACCCCACCTTACTCCAGCAAAGCGTTTCAGGAGATTAAGCCTTTTCGAGACACGGCTGTTAATGACTTCAACTTGGTGTTTCCACGTAAGCTTATGATCAAAGTTTACCCCCCAAGTACGTGGATTTATCACATTCGGGGATTAATATCCCTTTGTAAAAGAGTTGTGGACTTTAAGGCTGGTGCATAAGCGCGAAAATCTGATAAAATGTTTTATTTAGATTGACTTCCATATTGTTTGCATCACACAAATTTTCCAGTGCGCTCAAAGCAGTAGTAAGCTTGGATTCAACAGACTGCCTAGCTTGATTTTTAGTGGAGACAGTCCAGATGACCAGGTCATCAGCATACAAAAGACATCTCACACCAGGGACAGATCTTAAGATAGAAATCAAGTCATTGATGTAAATATTAAATAAAGTGCAACTGGTAACAGCACTCTGAGGAAGTCCTGTTTTGAGGATTTTTTGAGCTGAGATTGCATTTCCATATCTGACTCTACAAGATCGTTGGCACAAAAAACTCTCGACCATTTATACATTTTTGGTCTGACGCCCAGTTTGGAGAATTTAAGCAGCAGGGTTTCTCTCCACACGTTATCGTAGGCTGATTTTAGATCGATAAATATAGCTGTCAAAATTTGCCTATTGTCCAAGGCATCCTTTATATTCTTGTCCCAGGAGAGCAATATGTTGGTTAGTGGATCTAGAGGTCCTAAACCTTGCTAGTTCCTCGGCTAAAAGACCATTTGATTCCAGGTGGTAATTAAGTCTCTTGAAAATAATTTTTTCCATAATCTTTTCCGTAGCACTAATCAGTGAGATAGGTCTGTAGCTGTTTAGAGCTTTTGGGTCTTTATCTTTCTTATGGATTGGAATGATGACCGAAGTTCTCCAGTCCCAGGGTACATTCCCCGTATTCCATATAAAATTGAAGAAATTTAGGAAGAAAACCTTAGCACTGGGGCCCAAGTGAATGAGAAATTCCGGGTGGGTACCATCTCCACCAGGGGATTTACCAGGTATAAGGCTCATAAAGGCTAGGGAACATTAACTTACTGAGCTAGAACATTAACTTACGTATTAGCAGCAATGATAGGCATCATTCAGGGAAATTTTATTCATGACTAAATTTAGTCAGAATAAATTTATTCTGAATGATTATTCATATGAAAATTTAGTTATTATTCATCATTCATAATGCAAATTTTTGAATAATAATTTATGAATAAATTCATTAGTCATGACTAATTTTTCTGATTAAAATCTTGAATAACCAGTTAAAAATTCAAGCATTATGTCATTTTCATTGCAAGTTGCGCGTCGATTACAGTAACAAATTATTGTTATTTCTCATTACAAGCGTTTATGATTATTTATAATCACAATAAAAAGTGATAATCAGAATTACAAATAATCAATCCCTGGCATTGTAAGTAATCGTGACTATTTGTAATCATAAAGTTTACAAGAAATCATAACTACAAGTTATCATAATCTAACAATTACAGGAAATCTTAAATTGTAATTGTGATATATATGATTACGACACGATTAGATGTAATTATAATATCAAATAGGCTTGATTACATTGTAAAAGGGATTGTAGATAATCGTATACCTTTAAAACAATGAATAAATTATAAATGAAAACCAATTATTTAGTTTACTATTATTTGGTTTATTAAATGAAAACTTTTAAACATATGATAACTTACGAAAATACGCACATAAATACATGAACAAGATTTCATTGTGATTACATGTAATCGGGATTACAAGTCATTGCGAGTACATCTAATTAAAATATACGATTGCAAGTAATTACGATTACATATATGCTTATTCAGTTTGAATGTATGTATACGCATGTATTAACATATTTTTATGTACGTACAATGATCGTACATATATAAAAACAATTCAGTAATGTACGAGCAAAGCATGTAAGTTCGTATGTATGTAGACATATATATGTATATGTAACATATGAACAATTGTTCATACATAGATATATTTTAAACTCATGCAATATTTGTACGTATGCTTGTACATGTACGTACGTATGAGTATAAGATATATTTATGAATGTACAGATGTAAATACAGTGTACGTATGTATGCACAAACGATATTTGTACGAACATTAGATGTACATAATTTTACATATAATATACATGCATGTTACTTTCTATATACGTATGTAGAAACAATTTATGTACGTATACATGTATTTATACTTACAAATACAATCATAATATTAATGTAGGTATGTGCGTGCATCGTACGTAAGAGCTTCCTATATATATATACGATATATTTACATATTTATGCATATAAAATTCATGTACAGACATATATGGTTTGTACGTGTATTGTATGTTCATAGGTATGTACGCACATATCTATGTACATCGTCAAAACATGTACACGTAATGTATGAGTGTACGTATATATGTACAAAAATGTTAGTATGAACTTGCATTATACGTTCGTATATAGAATGTATGCATGTATGCAAGTACATATAATGAATAAATGTGTGCATGTGCAAGAAATATATGTGTTTACAATGTAAGTGTGAACATACATTATGTGTATGTAAGTCAATCTCTTTAACCATAAAGGCTATGCCGTTCTACGAACTGAGATGCAAAACATCGCTTACTTTTTTATCTCTTATATAAGAAATTTAACCATAAAACTGTGACAAGTATAAATGTTTATTTTTATGTTATTTCAACTTACTCCAGCGTAACATTATTGTTTTCCAAGTATTTATACTTAGTTGTGTTAAAAAGAAGTTTATAGCCGTTCATTTCAAAATTTGTTCTAATATCTATAAAACTCAATTTCTTATCGTTTCTGAAAGCAAACGATTATCTTATTTTAAATTCTTAAATATAATTTCAACTTAAAAAATTAAATGCCTTTTTGTCATATAAACAATTCTCTGAACTATGAATTATGTTTTATAAAAGTAAAATTTTATAAAAATACTTGAAAAGGATTTTTTATTTAAATATTTTTAAAATGATATAGAACAATTAAAACTGACAAATGAATTTAAATATCGATTGATTTAATAATTTAAATTGCCTGAGTCAATATTAGTGGTCATTATAATTAAAGTTTAAAAATTTAG